TATTATTATTTTATTTTTTTTTTTTTTTTTTTGGTTTGCTAAAAATAAAAATAAAATCTCTTAGTTTTCTTATTATTTATATTATTTATAAAAGTATTCTAATACAATTGCTAAGATAATGATTAGGTTCCTTTATTTTCAATTAAAAATTTCATTATTACATTTTTTATTTATTTCGTATAAGTTATTCCAATAATTATTATTGTTATTTTTTGTTTAGTTTTTAAACATAATTTTATAATTTTAAATGCACTTACAAAATTATTAATATCGTTCTTTATCCCTGCTTTTCTTTTATGTTTTCTCGAGAAACAAAAAGAAAGACAGGAAAAGTAAATAAGATCACTATATTCAAATTTACAGATTGATTGAATTTATTTAGTTTATAAAACCAATAGCGTATGTATTAGCAAAATAAATATGACCCATCAAAATTATAGAGTATAGTGAGTATATATAGAATTTATTGATGATTTACGCTTATCGCACATCACGAATCCGTGATTCGCGTTAAGTTCTTAAGCTAATATTGAACGGTGGCAAACAGTGTGGGGAATTGGTTCCGCTGGTTCCATTGGTTCCATTTTGGGTCCAATTGGTTGCAATCGGCTCCGCTGGCTATTTCCCACTAACAGCTTATGCGGCGCCCTGCAATGACAAACTAGTAGACAAATCGATTTTCGGCTACTCTGTTTATTTATTTAAAATTCTTATTTATTATTATTGTGTTCTCTGCCATTTTTGTTGTTTTTCTTTTCTTTCCCCTCTTATATTTTTCGATTGTTTTTGGTTCTTGTTGCTTGACTCGTGCTGACGTCAACGGACGTGAGGCTCAGTACACGGACAGGGGCGCGTGCCAATGGGGCAGCCAAAGGTACATACATATGTATATGTATACACATATAAGTATGTACATATAAGTATGTATGTATAATCGCCAAACAGCTAAAGAAAACAGCATCAGTCGCATAGTCGCTTTGTCTGTCAGCTGTGCTGGGCCTGTTTTGGCATTGACCTTGAGGCAAATCGAAAAGTGGGAAACTGAAAATCGAAAATTCGTTGAAAATTTCATTTTGACTTTTGGCATCAATAACAACTTTTACAAAAGCCTACAAAATCAGCAGTGCCAAAAAGAATCAACTCAAACAAATACTTGAACATATCGAGAATATATATATATACATACAGATGTACAAATATTCAACCAATCGATAATTAATTAAGGTTGGTCCTTTAAGTAAATATTAGAGAAATATGGATATATGAAGCGCATACGGTTTTAACATCGCTTTTAAGTACCCCAAAAAATAAGCAAGTTATGCATAATACTCGGACAGCTGAAAATGAGTGCTAGTTAGATAGTTTGGCTCGAGTACGCCTTCCTCTGTGACAAGCAAAGTGGCGTTACAAAATATGTATGTGCGAATAATTATTGAAATATCAATTGCTCGAAAGGTTCATAGGATCTCGTATATAACGGGCAGAAGGAGGCGTGGCAGACCCCAAAAAGTATATATATTCTTGATCAGGACGACGAGCTGAGTCGTCCGTCTGTCCGTCCGTGTGAGTCCGTCGATCTCAGAAGATACAAAAGCTTGAGAGCTGAAATTTGGCATGAATACTCGTGTATACCATACGCAGTAAAAGTTTATCTTATTTTTCGATATATATAGATAAATACGCCATAGCTCGTGATCTTGGGTGGTCGATACGGACCTACATTCCAAATGTCAGATTTCTAGCTCTTCACTTAATATGAATTCTGCCATATTGGAAAATGTTTTTTTCGAGTTAACTTAACACATTATAAATCGGAGATGGACATGACTATATGTTCCAAATGTCTCTAGCTCATACGAACAGGCGGGCGGACAAGACGGACATTGGAGGTGAATGAGCATACAAATGAGTACTTGAGAAATTTGCTCGAATATAATAGAAATGTATACCATACATATGAATATAACCTGCTCATTTACTATTTCGCATATGATCGACTGGGTATAATGGGTGTCACGAATTGTAACGTAAAGATACACAA